ACAAAGAGACAGATCAGTTAGACAGAAAATCAGCAAAGAAGTAACAGAACTGAATCCCACCTGTGAACAAATGAACTTGGGTATATGTATACAGTGTTTCACCCAAAAGCATCAGAATATACATTCTTTTCAGCAGCACATGGGACGACATTCTCTAAAAGACGATACACTAGCTCCCAGAATATGCCTAAGTAAATGCAAAACTGAAATTATTACATGCATGTTATCACATCATAGTGCCATGAAACTAGAAATTAATAACAAAAGATGAGATTGGGGATTTAGCTCAGCAGCATAGGTGCCTGTCTGGCAAGTGCTAGGTCATGAGTTACATTCCAACTACTAAAAAAAAAAAAAAAAAAAAAAAAAGTCAAAAGAAATAGCAAACACCCTACAAACATATGGAAATTGAATAATACATTCCTAGGCCATCAGTGGCTCACAGAGGAAATTAAACAATATCTACAAACAAATGAAAATACAAATACAACTTAACAGAACCTGTGGGAGGCAATGAAAGCAATCCTCTCAGAGGAAAATATATTGCAGTGAATTCCCATATCAGGAAAAGAGAATGAATACAAATAATCAAAATGATGCTACACCTCAAACATCTACAAAAAGAGCAAATCAAGCTCAAAGCCAAAAGAGAGGAAATTATAATGATCAGAGCAGAAATCAAGGTAATAGAGACTGAGAAAACAATACAAAGAATCAATGAATCACTTGGTTCTTTGAAAGAATAAATAAAACTGGTAAGTTCCAAGCCAACCTAATTTTAAAAAGTAAAGAAAAACCTCAAATTTATATAAGGAATGAAAAGGGCAAAATCACTACAGACTCTGTGGAAATACAGAAGATCATTAGTACCTACATTGAAAACCTCTACTCTCATAGGCTTGATAACACAGAAGAAATGGACACATTCCAAGAAACATGAATTACCAAAGCTGGATCAAGAAGATGTAAAACTGCTGAATAACCCAATTTCAATTAATATATTTGAAAATTTAATTAAAATATTACCAACAAAGAAAAGCCCAGGGTCAAATAGAGCCACTGCAGAATTCTACAAGAAATTCAAAGAAGACTTAATGCTGACACTCCTCAAACTCTTCAATGAACATGAAAGAGAAGCAATTCTCCCTAACTCATTCCTGGAAGCAAGTCTTTTTTTTTTTTTTTTTTTTTTTTTTTTTTTGGTCTTTCTCCTTTTTATAGGTACTGGGGATCAAACTCGTGACTCCCTGCTTGCAAGGCAGGCACTTATGCCACTGAGCTACATGCCCAGCTCCTGGAAGCAAGTCTTACTCTTACTCTAATACCAAAACCTGAGAAAGACCCAACCAGAAAAGACAACTACAGGCCAATCTCCCTAACGAACAAAATTCTCAAATAAATGCAAAAATTTTCAATAAAATATTGGCAAACAGAATGCAGCAAATCATCAAGAAGATTATACACCATGAGCAACTGGGATTCATCGCAGGAATCCAAGGATGATTCAACATACATAAATCAATAAATGAAATCTACCATGCCAAAAGAGCCAAAAATAAGAATCACATGATCATTTGTATAGATGCAGAAAAAGCTTTTTTTTTTTTTTTTTTGTCTTTTTCGTTTATCAGTACCAGGGATCGAACTCACGACTGCCTGCTTGGAAGGCAGGCGCTTATGCCGCTGAGCTAAATCCCCAGCCCCAGAAAAAGCTTTTGATAAGGCTTAACACTCATTCATGGTAAGACCCTTACAGAAAATAGGAATAGATGGTCTTTACCTCAATATGATAAAAGCCATCTATTACAAACCAACATCCAGCATCATATTAAATGGTCAAAACCTGAAAGCATTTACTATAAAATCAGGAGCAATACAAGGATATCCATTATCACCACTCCTATTCAATATAGTGCTGGAAATACTAGCCAGCACAATTAGACGAGAGGGAAATAAAAGGAGTAAGGATAGGAAAAGAAGAACTTAAATGATTATTATTTGCAGATGACATGATACTCTACATAGAAGACCCCCAAAACTCCATTGAAAGACTCCAAGGGCTAACTAAATTCAGTAATACAGCTGGATACAAAGTCAATACGCAAAAATCTGTAACACTCCTAAGCACAAACAACAAACTCCCTGGGGGAAAAATAAGAGAAGACACACCCTTCACAATAAGATTTAAAAAAAAATGAAATACTTAGAAATCAAACAAAAGAAGAGATCTACTCACAGAAAATAATACCCTGAAAAAAGAAATTGAAGAGGATATCGGAAAATGGAAACACATTCCTTGTTCATAGATAGAAACAACAAATTTTGCAAAAATGGCCATTCTCCCAAAATTGTTACACATATTTAATGTAATTCCAATCAAAATGTCACTAGCATACCTCACAGATTTAGAGAAATCATTCCTAACATTCAGCTGGTACCAAAAGAGACCTAGAATACCAAAGGCAATTCTGAATAACAAAGGCAAGGCAAGAGACATCATAATCTGACTTGAAGTTATACTACAAAGTTACTGTAATAAAATCAGCATGATACTGAAGATCAATACAATAGATTAGAAGATACAACTACAAACATGCTGAGCCACCTATCTTTGATAAAGGGGCCAAACACATTCACTAGAACAAAGATAGTCTCTCTGGTAAGTGCTGCCGGAAAAACTGATTCTCCATATGCCAAAAACTAAAACTAGACCCATGCATGCCTATCATCACGTATTAAGCTAATGTCAAAATGGATCAAAGATCTAAATATTAAAACAGAAACACTAACTCTGCTGGAAGACAAAGTAGGTAGAAATCTTGAAAATAGGGGTAGGCAGAGAATTCATGAACAAAAATCAAACCATATGGGAAATACTTCCCAGAATCAATAACTGGGATCTCATATTATTAAAATATTTTTGTATGTTGAAAGGAATCTCCAACACAGTAAAAAGGAAACACTTGAATTCTGAAAAAATCTTAAGTCAACTGTTTCTTAGACAAAGGCCTTCTGCCTAGAACATACAAAGAATAAAAAAAATAAAAAATAGACCCCGAAATTCAAAGACCCCATCCAAAAACGAACATTGGTGATGAACACACAGTTCTCAGATAGAAATACAGATGGCAAACAAATACATGAAGAAATGCTCAGCATCACTGGTCATTAGAGAAATGCAAATTAAAATCACACTGAGGTTCCATCTCACTCCAGGAAGAATGGATAGGATAAAGAAAACTACCAACAATAAATCTGGAGAGTCTGTGGGGCAAAAGGAACTCTTTTGCACTGTTGGGTGGTATGTAGACTGATGCAACCACTGGAGATATCTGGAAGTTCCTCAAAAAGCTGGGATTGGAAGACCCATTTGACCCAGCTATTCCACTTCTAAGCATATTCCCCAAAGAACTGAAAACATATCACAGTGATATATGTGCACCTATGTTTATAGCAGCAGAATTTGTAATAGCCAGGTCTTGGAAACAACCTACGTGCCCATCAGCTGAGGAACGGATTAAAAAGCTGTGGTATTTTTATACAATGGAGTACTACTCAGCTATAAAGAAGGATCACATTGAGATATTTATAGGTAAACGGATGTACCTTGAGACCATACTCAAGTGAAATAAAACTCATATATGTAAATACCATATTGTCTCCCTATTGTAAGAAATAGTAAGAGTGCATAAAATACAAAATCTTCAATAAATACAGTGAAAGGGTAAGAATCTGCTCAAAGGGGAAAAAATAGTATCTCAGAAAATAGGAGGAAAAAAGAAAAGGAAAGAAAAAGAAAAAACATCTAAATTTGTATAAACACACTTAAAGACACCTAAGACAATTGTGCTACAAATTCTTAAGTTCCTGGAACAAAACAGGTTACACTCGTAGAATTGGAACTATTTTGCATGTTAGTGTGTAGTTTTCTGAAGAACTCTTTTGAAGATCACTCTGGAAAATAACCACCTTGCATGTTCTCACCACCTTGTTTTGAAGGCCTGTATCATTCTTTTGGGCTCTTTGCTGTTGTTATTTGCCATTTCTTGTTTTTCTAGTAATGTTTTGTTTTGGTTTTATCTCTAATACAGAAAGGATACATATACACGTAGAGGTTATACATGCCTAGAACTTCTAAACAGTTTGAGAATAGATTGTATTATGCATGTTGAAATGAACAGCAACTTTGAAGAAAGAGACATTATGGTATCTATTGCTGATTCCGTATAGTCATGCTGTGAAATCCAGTAATGCTTTTATTCTTTGTTCTGAGTGTTTTTAGTCTGTTTTGTACTGTTTAATTTCAACATACATGAAGGTATGGACAGCTATTTTAAAGGGAACTGTGGCCATTGTCGATTTTTCTGTAGTCTGGTTTTGAAGGCCTGTAATGCCTTCATTACTGTGTTCTGATCAGTTTTACACTATTTTGCTTTATATGAATTCATTGTGTATGAAGATATAGACAACTATTTGGAAGAACAGACATTATGGTACTCACTGTTGATCTTTTGTCTTGCTTTGAAATCTGTCACTTACATTGTTTTCTTCTGATCTGCTGTGTTTTATTTTAGGTTTAATTTTATTCTCTTTAAAATAAATACAACTTTCCCAAACCACTACTTCCCAAAAAGCCCTATTACAAAGTAATTTTTTTCTCTTTTTACACAAAACTATCAAGATTTTTTCCTTGACTTTATTTTCTAATAAATAGACACTGAATAAACCCACAACTGTTAATTTCATTTTCAGAATATAAAATGTTCCCCCAAATATTCACTGTTCTCAAGTCTTAACACCTCTCAAAAATATGGTTGTATTGCAGATGTGGTTGACAGATTAAGCACAATACTACAATTAAGGTGTCAGCACCCCTGAAAAACTATTTGTGCTCAAATGATCATGGGTTTGTTTTTGATTATGAAATCAGTCTCTCCATTTCCACCAATTCCCTCTGAAATCCCAAACAAAAAGAGACAAAGGTAATCACCACAGGGCAGTAGAATTATTTAAACTTTTTAATTTGCCTTTACACATTATATTAACATCCATATTACAAGGCATTCCATTCACAAATATTACAGTTTGATAAAAACTTTACACACACACCCCCAAAAGTCTATACCAGATTTAGTCACTTTACTAAATCATTAAAACAATAAAAGTAATGGAAACATTATCATAATTCTCAAAGCAATAAGGTCTGAGGCACTCTGGGAAAGATGTTCTTTTACAAGTATCATGTGTCACTGGTACCAAATTATTAAAAAGTCATCACTCAGTAATCAAGTACACTCTATTATCTACTGTCAAAGACTCTAGGACCTATCATAGGTGTACACATCTATCTAAACAACTGTTGAAAGAAACAGATATTGGGCATCCATGGCTGTTTTTAAGGAGGTTCTCTATTATGAACTGATGGTATGTATTTTCAGCACACCACAGACAGCAGTATCCCTGTGCAGGGTTATAGTACTCAGAGTTCCTTTCTCATCATTAGGTTTACTAAATTTCAGATTCTCAATTTACTGTGCTCACAGTAAGAAACATTTTAGAACACTTTCTCCATCATCCATCCCACAGTGTAGCCCCTATCTTTTCTGGTTCACCAAGCTATGCCCTAGAAATAAGTAAGAGGGTTTTTCCTCTTCCATTTCTGACCAAACAGAAGTCTGAAATGGCAGTGCATTATAAAATTCTATGCCTTGCAGCATCAGCCACCACTTGAACCATAGTTATTTTTGCCATAAACTAAACTTTTAAAAGTTTGATATGCTTCTGAACCAAATTTTACCACATTCATCTACTAAGCCAAAGTCAACACTGGGGAGAAGCTCTCACTGAGTGCTTTCCTACACACAATTATAGGAATAAATAGCAAGAAAGAGGGAAAGGCCAATTCTCAAGTAGAAATTAAGTCACCAGAAACTATGGATCCATTTATGACAACAAATAACTCTGCCAGAGCAGAACTAATCTAAACCGAAGGTCACACAGTATTCTTAATAATGTATATGGAATTTAAAATGTATACATATATATTTCCACATATATATAAAATAAAAAATCTGGAGCAACAGATGTTGCTAGAATTTCAAGGATTTTCACCTTCAACATTCACTGGAAAGCAGCTGGCTCTTGATGGCCCATCTGTCGCAGTGGTAAAAGCAACTAGAAGCAGGTTAAAGTGAAAGTGCTCAAGGGGTAAATGAGAAAACAGGTATTCAGAGAAAAGGGGTTGAGGAGAATAAGAAAGGAGTTAAGCAATGTTTCCTTTATTCTTCTCATCTTTTTTGACTCAAGACAAGTTGTTGAGGATTCATACCTATGCCGTAAAACATTCTTATCAAAACAATTTAAGTGATAAAAAAATTTGACTCTTCCTTTCTGTACTCTCAATACAATGCATAGTACAGTTAAGAAGGTATTTTTGAGATGTGTCATCTTGCGAGAATTCAAAATTGGGACATGAAGTGAGGTCGAGTACTATCCAGTCGCCGGGTCAGGATTTCACAGCCAGTGTCTGTTACCAGCAGAGTATGCTCAAACTGAGCAGAACGCTTTCCATCTCTTGTCACAGCAGTCCAGCCATCTGGCCAGGTTTCATCCTGCCATCCACCTTAAATAAACAAAAACTATCTCTCAATTTCATCACTCAGTTTGCAAAATAAACTCTCTAGAAAAACACGTATTAAAAAGAAAACCAATTATAAAATTCCATATTAAGAAGCCTATTAATCTTTTAATTGATTAGCCTTATCAAATTCTTTGTGTATCATACAATCTCATATTTCCCCATATAAAATAAAGATGGTATTTTCAAAATAAAGGTACTGAAAAAAAATAAGGTATTACACTTGATTTTAGAAAATATATCACAGAACCGTGAGTAAAAACTTCAATAAATTTAGCTTTTTCCTGATATAACTTTAGCACCTGACTATAGCTGGTGTTAGTGAAGAAATCATGTAAACTTTGATACATTGATTGTTAAACACTCAATTCCTGGTATGATTTTTAAATTACAGGCACACAATCAGATGGTGACAACAGAGTATACTGTCCAATTTTTATAAATTATAACCAAACAACTAGATAGGTAAAAAGGAAAAAGGGTCAGTAACAGGATCATAAAAATACAATGATGCAAAATGAATTAAAGACAAGCTGAAACTAGAGAAGGGGTGTCAAGATACAGTGAAAAGATGAGAAAACACAGACACAAAGAAGAGAAAATAAGAAGATAAAACCCTTAAGAATCTGAGGCGGGGTACAATAAGAAAGCCAATTTTGAATACTACTACAAATATGTAGCAGAGATTTTATTTCAAAATTATAGTGTCAAAAAAATTAATATACTCTTTAAGTAATCTTCAAAGAAATATATCACTCTGACCCCCCCACTGACTCAGACAAATCTCAGAACAGACTCAGTAATCATGTATAATTTAGTTTTGCAATATTGTACCTCAGTCTAAAAAAGAATTTGAGACAGCTCAAAGTTAATTCACGGTTCATTGAACATTGAAAAGATGAATAAACAGGCTATTTTTTAATGTAATGATCTTTATTTATGCAAATGAACTTCAAATATATTACTGCTTTGTTATAACCTGATTATCTGAACTAGTTCTTTAGAAAGATATTTGCTTACTTCTGCATATACTATGTCTCACCAATCACATGCCCCTTAATGAAAAGTGTACAACTAAACAATCCTTTCTTCCTAGTGCCTTTTCTTCCACTGTTGCCATGCCTCACAACTGGATTCTTTTGATCAGAATTTTTTTTTTTAATTTTTATTTTTGTCTTTTTCTTTTTTATCGGTACTGGGGATTGAACTCATGACTGCCTGCTTGCAAGGCAGGCGCTTATGCCACTGAGCTAAATCCCCAGCCCCTTTGATCAGAATTTTATCCTCACTCTGAAGTGATAACAGAAACACTGTATTTGTCCTTAAAATAGGTAAGGTACTTTATATTAATATAAATCAACTCAGTTCTTACAGCAACCCTCAAGTAGTAAGAAAGTGGTTAACCATGTCTCCTGTGATCCTACCTGCTGATATCATGACTTTGTTTCATCCATTCTTCCCAAGTGTGGGCTAAATTTAGTGACTCAATTCTAAGAAAAAGAATATGGATATACTCTCAGGATTAGGCAACAAAAAGACTAGAAGGACCCAGAGAAGAAGTATCCTTTTACACAGGGCTCAAGACACACTGGTCCAACTATCAATAACTCATTTTGCATCATGTAAACCCAACAAAGTTGGGCATGGTTGCACACTCCTGTAAGCCCAGCACTCAGGAGGCTGAAGGAGGAGGATTGTTGCAAGTTTGAAAACTACCTGGGCTATAAACTGAGCCCAAGGCCAGCCTGAACTGCACAGAGAGACTCTGTCTCAAAAAGACAAAACAAAAACAAAACCTAACAAACAACTGGCAGAGAACACCCCAGCTCATCTCTGACAGGCACTCTGAGAGCTCAGTAATGAGTGCTGGTCCTAACACTAAGCCTATCACTGTTGCCTCATTCCTGTCACAGAATCCCAACAGTGTGGACACTACAGCTAAGTTGTTTGGCATTGTGCTTTTTGCACAATTCTTTGTGAAGCCACACAGCAACATGAGGGCAAACTCTGAAAGGAGAAGCAAGCTCAAAAATTGACAGTTAATAAGTTCTGCCACATTTAAGTAGAACTTGGGCAAGCTAGCCCAGGCCTCTGGAACAATCAGATTGCTCTGTATAATGGGGATATCATTTTGCTCATATTCTGTGCAAATTTAAACCATATAACAATGCCTGCCTCAAAGTGGATAACTCAACAATTACTTTTCTTTATGTCTTTCCCCTCCTATATCAAGCAAGAACTTCCATACAGACTTCATATAGACTCCTATTTGGTCTTTACGAAGTGACCAGGATTCAGTTATTTCAGAACCTACTGACAGCAAAGGAATTATCATGTAGAAAATATCACCTTTCTGCCAACACTTGACAATGTTTAATTCTCTACATTTAAGTTTGAGATGGCATGCATGCCCAAAATCACAGCACTCGGGAGGCCAAAGTAGAATTGTTGCAAGGTCAAAACCGGCCTGGGCTACAAAGTGAGCCTGCACAGTGAGACCCTGTCTCAAAAAGAAAACCCCCACCCCAAAAAAGTTCAAAATGGGATAGGATGCAGGAATGAAGAAAGCAAGCAAAACAGACTGCTGATCTGGTGGGTAATTAAAAAATAGATAAAAATTCAAGTAAAGAATATTATAGCACCATGTTTTCTCACCTTCGCAAATCATTGGCTCGATTGTAAATACATGGCCCGACTTCATCACTCCAACGGCTTTATTTTCTGGAATTAAAAAAGAAAAAAAACCCTCAAAAGATCTCAAAAACCAAGTGTTCTATTGAACATTTCATAACAGTGTACAACAGGCCAGAGAGTTAGCTCAATGGTGTAAGCGTCTGCCTGGCAAGCGCAAGGTTGTGAGTTTGATCCCCAGTACAAAAAAAAAATGTCCAACATATATTCCCATCAGTGATTCTTTATTACTTTCGCCTCTCCTTATTCTCTTTGTTAAAGTACATCATTCAACACGTAAGCAACATGCCAGTAATGACCTACCTTAAAGCAGATTATTATTCTAGGCATACTTCATTCTGCTTATGTTTTCTACATCAAAATATATGGATTCCCACTAGTTGAATTCCAGGTTATGATTATTACTTCCATAAGAGAGAAATTCTGAATCAAGTGCTGCAGATTAGAAATGTAATCACAGAAACAAGCCAAGTGCCATCATTCATTCATCTTTAAAAGAGATTTGAATGACAGGTATTTTGAATTATGACATAAGTTTCCTACTTCTTTGGAGGTAAGGCACGTGTGCCTATATTCAGGGTCACAGCCTGTAAAAGCACTTACTGTATATGATTTTCATTGTTTTAGAAAAATCTGTCTTTTCCTCATCTTAAAATGAGAACAAAGTCTTTGCATACTAGTCTGGGTTTTTTTTTTTGTTTTTTTAAATACTAAAAGAGATATTTTCCATCTCTTCTTTGAAGTGCTGCTGTGGTTTTTTTGCCGGGTCTGGTTTGGGGAATTTTTGGTTTGTTTTATTCTGATTTTTACCTTTTCCCCAAGTTCACTAATATGAGAGTATTTTGCAAGACCAACATGAGAAACACAATTATGAATTAAGTTGCCTTAATTAAGCTGTCTAGACCTGCCACTCCTCCAAAGAACTTTAAAACAGGGATAAGGGCTTATTAGAAAATCTTGGACTAAAAAAATTAAAACAGTAAGAATTGATAAAGCTATCTGCTAAATGAATGACTGGCACTTATTCAAGATGACCACCAGATGGCAAAAGCTGCAGCCTTTCGGCTCCTTTCCCTTTGCAAGGCGTTGAGCCCAAAGTGGAACAGCAAATGTTTCCAGTGAACTCAACCTCTAAGCCCACTCTTCCTAGGTATGGTCCAACCTCACGTACATGTTTACATCAGGTGAACAGCTACCATCCTGCTTTCCAAAACACACTCACCACAGAGTCCAAGTCTAAATGTGCATAAAATGTTTAATGCAATGAAGTGACAGTATCAGATTTTTCATTTCTAATCTCACAAACTTTCAAAGTAACATACAGCTTACTGCATACACAGACATGGTCTATATTCTCATGAGGACAACAACAACAACAAAAAATAGTCAAGAGTGCCTGTGTAGTGCGACAGGAAGAAAACACATGATAAAAGCATCCAGAGTTGTACAGTTCCCTCCAGCAGCACAGCCACACACTTGCAAAGTGGCTCTTCACAAAGGGTTGGTTATCCATGCAAAACACTGCAAATTTCAAAATCTGAAGCAGCATGTAACCTTGTATCTCACTAAATGCTGCCACAATATTTTGGGTAAAATACATTAAATATAGTATTAAAATAAATTCCACTCATACTTTTTAATTTATACTGTGGAACTTGTAAATTATCTATGTGCCTTATAATGTATTTTTTTTTTTTTTTGGTCTTTTTATTGGTACCAGGGATGGAACTCACGACTGCCTGCTTCCAAGGCAGGCGCTTATGCCGCTGAGCTGAATCCCCAGCCCCTCATAATGTATTTCTACTGAATGGTGGTGATACAGAGAATCCATGTTTCACTCCAGTTTCTGTTACTGATTTATTAGGCTATAAAAATTACAATTTCTACTCATTTGTTACAGTGTTAAAGTTTCTCAACAAATACAATACATATTGTCTGAGGACTGTACTATGTTGCAAGTAGAATGCTAGGTACTCCTTTAAAGAACTGTACTACTGTGCCATCTCTCTCAGAAATACTGCAATGCATCTTGTAAATGTAGGGTCTATTATTATTTTCCAACAATTAATAACTGAAAGAAGTAAATTCACCTTTCAAAGACTTTTCTCACATTAGAAGTGGTAGAGGGAAATCATGCAACATTTTCCTGATTTAAGAATATATGTGTGATATTTTTTTTTTTTTTTGTCTTTTTTGTTTTTTTATCGGTACCAGGGATCGAACTCACGACTGCCTGCTTGCAAGGCAGGCGCTTATGCCGCTGAGCTAAATCCCCAGCCCCTATTTAAGAATATAAAGTTAGAAACCAAAGCAGAGATTAACATTTTAAAAGGACATTTTAAAAGTCCAGGCCATAATGATGATAATTATAAATCTCTTAGCAATTTCCTAAGTGATTTCCCTAAGTGATCACAGCATGTCCTGATTAAATAAATCCAATTTATATTTGACTTTTCATGAATATATCAAATGTAAAAAATGAAGTGTACCTGGACTTTATTGTTTTACAGAGTCAGTCTCTGTCTGTCTCTCTCACCCATATCCAAACCCAACTTTGTTGCCTCTGCACATTAGGGAATGTTTTTTATTTTTTCTCTGTCCATTTTCTTACCCATACACACACACAATCAGAATAGCTACTTCTGCTGGGCATCATGCATACTTGTAATCCTAGCACTTGGGAGGCTGAGACAGGAGGATCACCACAAGTTCAAGGCAGCCTGAACTACATACAGCAAGATCCTATACTCAAAAGCCAAAAATGAAAAATAAAGAATAATGACTGTCTGTGGAAGGAATGTACCCTCAGATGATTACAGAGATTAAGAGTTATCTCAGAGTTTTTGTTAGCTTTTATTTCAAGCATGAGTCACAAAGTAGTATGGTCTCTAGTGAATGGTTATGCATAGCTTCTCCTCTCAAGAAGTTTCTTCTCACTTGAATTTCTCCTAATAACACTCAAAGTCCAGGATTTTACCACTTCACAACAGGACTACAGCAATAATTGAGAACTTTGTTGACTATCCTGAATAGCTTTCATGTGCAACATATCCTCAACATCCTGCTGAATTAGTCTTGCCAAAACACAAGCTTCATCAGTCCATTCTTCTATTCCAAAATGTTTCAGAATATTCTTACAGATGAAGTAAGACTTCCTTAGTCTGGCATTTCACATGCCCAGCCCTGCCCACTGCCTAACGCTAGTCCTCAAAATGTAACACTTAGCCAAGCTTATCTTGTCTCTCTCTCTCTCTTGGGTCTTAACGTGAAGCACTTGGTTAGACTTCCTCCACACAGAATGCATCTTAACCATGTTTTAGTTTACCCCAGGGCTCAGCACTCAGGCCTGTAAAGAGGCACAAAGTAGAGACAAGTGAGTGAGTCAAACAACCAGATAGACACACTGAATGACCAACTAACCAACCCCAGATTTCTTAGGTACCATTCTCATTACTGAGACAAAATACCTGACACTCCCAGGTTAAGGAGGAAAGGTATATTTCAACTATTTATAGAGGTGTCAGTCCATAATCGGCTGGCTCCAAAGCAGGGTGACATGGCAAAGGGGCATCACAGGTGGCATGGCACGACAGGCAGTAAGCAGCAAGCAGCAAGCCCACCTTCTTTCTGTCCTTTTATGTTCCTTCCAGGCCATAAGCCTGTTGACTAGTATCACCCACACTCAGGTTGGAGCTTCCATTATCCATCCCAGAACTACGCTACACCAGTTATTGCACATCCTTGGTCCATATTTATACACTTTAGATCAAACTACTTGAAAAAAATCCCACCTATGAGCATATGAAGCTTTGGGGAGACATCTAGATACAAGTCTTACCACCAAGCTATCATTTGTTTACTAGAACGTGTAAATTCGAATAAGTCACCTCCATATGCAGACTCTGTTTTCAAAAAAAGAGCTGAGAAATTATGTAATTGTGATAATTAATTAAAATCAAATTATAGCCATTCTTTCACAACTGAGCTCTGTTCCTGTTTGATAAATGAGTTGGTCACTAAGTGAAGAACTGTATATAGTAAGTACAATATTCAGAACAAAGAAGAGCTCAAAGGAAACTCCAATTTGATGACTTTGCTTTTATTTGCATAATATGTAACATGCAGTACTGTAATGTATGACGGAGTATGAAACTACAGTACAACCAGCAAAAATTGCAGTACTGTTTTGTGGAGTAAGCCATCATAAAACTATACCACCACTCATATTCCTTTGTGGTAAACTTGAATGTGTGTCATAAGTTCAAGTGGCAGGTCATAAGTCCATACACTGATGAGTCATCAAAGGACAAAGAACTATACACAGAGCTGTGATATCACTGTTTAACCATGAACATTAGGCTCTTTTCATATAAGTCACGCAGCACTCTAAATGATTTCCCCCATGTATTATCTCACTTAATCTTACTAACAATTCATTAGGTACTACTCCCTCCTCTTGTATAAATGAGGTAATTAAGCACAGGCATTACTGGTCACAGCTTGTCAGCAACTCTCTTAGTTTCCAGGTTCATTTAGCCATCCACAACCAGGAGTATAAGAAAAGTCCAGAAAAATAGAAAAACACATTTATTTACAATTTGGCAAAAGGCCACTAGCACACCTTGCTTGAGAAGCACAAAACGACTCTTTTATGGTTAGTGTCTGCCTGAGGTTGTGAGTTTTATTTCTGGTACAAAAAGAAAGAAATCAGAAACCATACTAAACCATACCAGACTACACTATGTCAACTTGAGAAGTTTAGAATCTTAAGACACTCAGCTCAGCAGGGAGCCAAGGTCCTTAATTTGTAAACATCTTCAGCCTGTGCAAGAGGAGGTCACAGAGGTGGCGTGAGTGCTATACCCGCTCTGGGTAATGGGTGGAGGGTAGCCTGCTTACCATATAAGGGAGGAAAAGAGGCATGTTCCCTGACCCCTTTGCTCTTGCTGTTTTTGGTGTTTTCTGCTGTACTGAACTGTTGCTCTGTGCCACACCACCCTGCCTTGGAGTCAGTTGATTACCGACTGAAACGTCCACAAACTGTGAGCTGTATCTTTGTTTCCTTAATTTTGGGTGTTGGGTATTTCGCCTCAGCAGTAAGAGAAAAGTAACCAACACAGACTCCAATTTATAGAAGAAGTAGAACAAAACCTAAGAAATGTCCATATGCATAGAAAACAGCCAGAGGGCTGGCATGGAATGGGGGACAGGGATTTATAATTGGTGTTGAAAAGCTTGGAAAAATCCTAGTTTTAAAAGATTCATTTTAACTTCCTAGTTACACAGGAGATTCATGAGAATTTTCTATGGAAACAGCTTTCTCTCTCCATACAATTACGTGGGTGGACAGATGGTCACTTATAGTAGGTAGATTTCACCTACAGCACTACATAACAGATTCATCCCATATCTATCTAATCTCCACACAAAAAAAAGTTTCTAGAAGACCTGTCTTATACTTTCCTTGCTAATCTACTAGTGCTCTGAAATTGAAAAATACTTTGTCTATTCCCCTCTAATTGTATCAATAAATAGTATGGTTTCTGATTTCTTTCTTTTTGTACCAGAAATAAAACTCACAACCTCAGGCAGACACTAAGCTAAATCCCAGGCTATTATCTGACATATATTAAGAAACTACAGCAAACCATGATTTACACCAAAAGAATCAGAAAAGTGAAGGTTAGACCTATGGCAGTTAAGATTCAACCGTGTCACTGAACTCATGCCCATGGAAAATAAATGCAAATGACTTATGCCAATTTCGGGTAGGTTTATTACAGGTGCCCAAGCATATCCACTCCAAGGTTCTTTCCGTGCTCTTGCACTATGCTCTAACTATAAGGACAATTCACTAGGTGACCAGGAAAACTATAAATTGAAAATGACACAGCCTAGGCCATATCCCCGCAGTGACCAAACATACCTGCGTTGGACTGTTGTCTGAGCAAGACTTGAACTTGTGTTTGAACAAAGGTATATTTTAGGACTCTATTTGTTGTAGCTAGTAGATTAATGAATACAAAACACTCGGTCCTGTTAAATGTATGAATATTTGTTGAATAAATTTGTCGAATAGCAAATCTTTGGATAATACTTACTGGCATAGTGGGGTACATTAGGAGCTGTATGAAAAAGCTTATGGATTCCATGCCCACAATAACTTCTAACAACTGAAAATCCACTTGCTTGAGCATGCTTCTGAATAATGTTTCCCAATTCTCTGTATCGAACACCAGGTTTCACTAAAAGAAAAGGACAATTCATAACAAAGAGAAATAATCCTAAAAAACTAATACCTTGGTGTTAAGGACCTTTGTAAGTACTTTAAATGTCTTTGTGCCTAAATATTCAGATGAGGAACCCAACGCAGAGAGGCTATACAGCCACTAAATAGCAGAGTTCTAATTCAAACTAGGACCACTTCAGTTCCTCCTTTAATGTCAGAAAAGGAGAATACCTTACAATGTTATAGGAGTGTAGACAAGTACCTTTTGCCTTCCCTAGTAACAGACATTGAACAATAAAATGAAAAGTACATTTCTCCTCACATTCTTCTCTAAAGTCAACACTCCACTCCACTCTACTCTACTCCATGGAACAGAAGAGTTAAGAAAGTACCAGAAGAAAAAAGGAATGTCAAAAATTAACTTCATTTCTTCCAAACTGCAGTGTGGTTAACTTCTGAAGAATTACTTTCCCTGGACTTCTCTATCCACATAAAAATGATTTCCTATTCATAGTTGCCTTTGCAACAGGGCCTGGGCACAGAATAGTATTTTTCACTGTATAATTACTTCTAATTTTTATGACTTTAGTACTGATATGATAAAAAAACAAATCAAAGAAATGGTTCTCACTGCTGTTAAGGTTGTTCAAGCACTAAGATCTAAGAAGTGGAGCACTGCTAGGTTCCTGGAGAATCAAGCCATGGTTCTAGATATCCTCTAACTCCTACAATCTCTTAGTCTGATTGTCAATCACAGGTTTAGCTACATTCTAGTTCCTCTATCCAATCAACTTTCTTCAACTGCTTCAAAGCTCAAGGAGTTGTATTTTAATCAATTTTTAAATTTCTTCTTAACCATATGGTTCATATGTTGATGTTTTTGGCAGGAGAAAAGGAGCTTCCAATTTTTAACCTCTGTGTATCAAATAATTTTCCTTCATTCCTATCCACAACTTTCTGTCAGCCCTGGTTTGGGGCAGTGAGGACACAAATTTTAACCATTCTGCATAGTACATAATAAAGAAAATCTCCACTCAACAATAATGACAGAAAGTGATGGCAGAAGATACTGCCCTGTCGAACTAGGACCAACTCTGGTCATGAGGGTAAGATGTGCAGAGACTTTTGTTCCTCCCACACAGAATGGTGGTGTGACTGATATCCACTGGAAAGACGCCAGGCCACATGTTAAGCATCTTATAATGCAGAAGTCCTTATAATAAAGAAACATCAGGCTCCTAAAATGCCATTAATGCATTCACTTAAGAAATCCTACTCTAGAAAAAAGATCCGAAATATATCATAGATATTGTAAAATGGGAAGAAACATCAAAAGGAAGGAGAAACTGGGATGGGGGAATGCAGAAAAGAAGAAAAGGAAAAACAAAACAAACAAATACATATATAGATATAGATATATACACACATATATGGTAGTTGAACTACTAATTTCTCTTAGTTCATTGAAAAGAAAGGTTTACAGAAAGAAATAAAAGAAACACTTGTGCTAGTATTGTTTGGATAATTAAATACCGATATCTATTCTGAGTAACTAATTTGAAGATAATAATACACAATGTATTCGTCATTGTTACACTCCTACTGCCTTGTTCTAAATTTTTTTTCTCTTTAAAATATAAAAACTCTAGAAAAACCTTTTCTACTCTAGAAAAGTTCATTTCAACTTTTAAAACTTTAGTACTCCATACTAGGGTAGGAAATACATTAAATAAGTATTTTGAAACTCTGGGGAAAAGGAGGCAAAATGACATTTACAAGGCTATGGACAATACTTCTAAGGTATTAGTTGAAAGAAATTACAAACTATAGAATATTATGAACATTATGATTCCATTTAGCCTAATTAAATGCATACTATAGTTGTGTGTGCCTTTTTTTTTTTGTCTTTTTCGTTTTTATCGGTACCAGGGATCAAACTCACGACTGCCTGCTTGCAAGGCAGGCGCTTATGCCACTGAGCTAAATCCCCAGGCCCAATTGTGTGTGTCTTAAAGCATAAGAGAAAGGAAAAAAAGGGGTGGGGGTTAACAATGGATACTTCTAGAGCCAAGATATGAAAAGCAAAGAGGAAACAAAAGTAAAGCAGGCTCCTTCATTTCCTTCTTAAAAAAATCTTGTCTTGGGGGCTGGGGATTTAGCTCAGCGGCATAAGCGCCTGCCTTGCAAGCAGGCAGTCGTGGGTTCGATCCCTGGTACCGATAAAAATGAAAAAGACAAAAAAAAAAAAGAATGTAAAAATCTTGTCTTAATTTTCTATGAAAAGAATATAATTGTCACATAACTCAAAGAATAAAAAAGCAGAAATAGAAACCTCACTGAAGAATCATCCACACATTCCTCCTCATTTATCAGGCAAAGAAATGGAAGCGAATCTCAGAAGAGACGGGATGCTAAGAAATCACCTCATCTACCCTTGTCAAGGAACACCCAGATATCTTTAAACCCATTAGCTAGAAGCACCCAAAGCTAACTCACATGGCAGAGGGTGGAGGCAAAGCTAGTATGCACAGAAAACAGCAGTGACAATGGGTACCCATCATGGAGGCTGACCTGCATCAATGGCTTGCATCAGGCACTCATATGTTGTCTGCACTAGTTTCCGTGCTCCCTCATCCACGTCTCCAACAAAAAACGTCTCATTCAGGTCCCCATGATAACCACTGCGGTAAAGAGTAATGTCCACTGCAAAAGAATATGCAAATGTAAAGATGTCTGTTTTCACTGCAAAGTAAAAGAGCAGTTCTATTTCAAAACAGAAAGTTTTTCCAACATGAGAGCATCAACCAACTTAATAAAAGAAAAAAAAAATACATCTTCTGCAGTCTCAGAGTATACATAAGTATATAATGCTTACCACCGAACAGAAACTCCTTCAGGATAATTCACTAAGACCACTGCAACACAGGAATATGGCCACGCAGCACACACTATGTAGTGGGTTATTACAGTAATTAGGCCACGTGTAGCAAAAGAAAAAGTTAAGCAGGATACAATGACCAAGATAAATAACAGGGTTAGTAATACTAAACTGAAGACTTGCTACATTTTCTCATTAAATTAAAAAAATTAGATTCTCTTATTGTATACACTGTATATGAAATAAAAATAACAAGGATTTTATGAAAAACAGAATCAAATGTCGCGGTGAATGTCTGTAATTTCAGCACCCTGGGAAGCTGTGGCAGGAAAAGCCCAAATTCAAGGCTAGCCTAGGCAAAAGTGAGACCTATAAGTCTAAAAATAAAAATAAAAAATGAGAAGGGCCAGAGAACCCCAGGAAACGTGGACAAATGGACAGAAGAAAAAGAGGAAGAGGAAAAGGAGGGACAGAGAGAGGGAAAGGGAAAGGAGAAGATAAGTGGAAGGGGAAGAAAAGAGGACAGGAGAGGAGAATGGGGAGGGGGACGGAGAGGGAAGGGACGGGGGGCCTCATAACCTAGGGGACTCTAAACAAATGCTGTAACTGAAGCAGTAACAATGGCAATAAAAATGGTATCACATCACAACTAAATCTCTTCTATCATTCATAGCCAACATCATAACTGTCAAGTCTGAGTGACCTTTAACATTTGGGCTTACACTTCCTGAAGTCCCTAAAGAGAATGAGACTAATTTCAATAATAAAAATGCCAACTAGAGAAGCCTGCATCAATGCTGCTTGTTTGTTTGTATTTATTTATTTATATTTATTTATTTTTCTGGCACTGGGGATCGAACTCATGACCTTGTGCCTGACACCACTGAGCTAAATCCCTGGCCACGTACTGTTTTGTAAATCCACAGGAAAATGCCTTTGTACCTTCTCCTTTACACTTGTAGCTCCCCTTCAAAATAACAGAGCACAGATGTCCTGAAAGCTACTCCACTTCAGGAAAGGCACTGCTATGAGATTTGCACGTGCTGTCTTAAGGTCTTCATTTATTATTAAAGGTTTCTCAAGACTATTAAGAAAGCCTTCCCAAATCACTTCAAAAATATTAGTGGACGTAAAAAAAACAAAGCTGCACATTCAACATTACTTCATTCCACTGAGATCTTTCACCTGTTTAGCATATGAGACAAGCATTAAAGAAATACAAACTATTCTGTACATATCAGCCTAGACATACCTTACAAACACTGTGCATCAAAACTTACAAAAAACCTTCTACAGATTTTACAGTGACACTAAATTTTAAGTAGGAAAGAGCAAAAATATAGGGATTAAGTCAAGAGAACTAAAGTCACTAACAGATTCCCATAATGCTCCTTTGTTCATGGTAAAAAAAAAAAATTGCAGTCACATATTTCTTACCATTAACAATGTCACCTTCTTGCAAAGGTCGTCTGTCTGGAATTCCATGGCAAATGACTTCATTCACTGAGGTACAGCAAGACTTTGGGAAATTATAATAATTCAGAGGAGAAGGATAGCAATTTCTTGCAATGCATGCCTATAATAAAAAGAAAGTAATTTTGAATGTACAAAAAGAAAAATCGGATGCATTGAATCAGATTTTAAAATACACAAAATGAAGATACTATCATAAAGAACATATATAATATTTTATTTTAAAGACAGCACTTTTTTTTTTGGTTTCTGGTGTGTGTGTGTGTGTGTACACACACTGCGTGTGGGGTTTTCCAGATAGGGTATCATTAAGTTGCCCAGACTGCTCTACAATTTGACTCAAAAGAGCCTCTAGCCTCATTCTCCCGAGAGGCTGGACACAGGTTTCTACCACTGCAGCCAGCTGGGAGGCATAATCTTACAGAGCACACAGAATACACCAGTTTCTTTGCTGTTTACTTTGAGTCAAAGTCTCAGTAAGTTACTAAATTGCTCAGTGTGAGGCATAACTTGCCATGCTCCTGCCTCAGCCTCCCAAGAGTGCTGCCTAGCTTAATAAGCACTTTAGATATAATTATATTTTCTTATTTAGAAATAAACCTCTATCTCTACAACCAAAAAATGAACACAAGTATAATTAAGAAATAGTAAAGAATTCTCTGAGACATCAAGCAGTATATTTAGTGAAACATCAAATTATCTTCTAGCCTGCATAATAAGAAATACTTTACTTGGATATTTTATGCAGCTGGTAAATCACAGCAGACATTCTGCTTCCATACTGCCATACAATCTTCCTGTTTCTAATGGCTGTGCAAAATATCACTTGTGGAAGGTATCATAATAGCAATTCCACTATTACTGGACATCTAAATTAACCTGAAATTTTATCAATTACAAAAAACCTTACTACCAATAACTATATTTTCCCTTGTTTACAAATATTTTTAGAGCACTATAAATAGCAAGTTAGAGCATAAAGAATCAAGTTGTCTTGACTGAAAAATACCAACTCCATCCCTTAAAAAAGCTGTGGATGTTGGACAATTTCATTGGTTTCTTTCTTCATCAGTTTCCTTATATATAAATGGGGAAAGCACTCAAAATGCTTACTGCACCCTGGACATTTTATAGTAACACACATAACAATCCCCCAAAACCAAGATTTAGAAATTCTCAACTGAAAAATTTATAAACCTTTTAAAAGTTTGATATACTGTCAAATTCTTTCAGACATACTATATCTATCCCTAGTTACAATACCATTAGCATCCAAGACTGCCAGCTTCATCGTCTTCACACACAAAAAAAAATCTTTAAAATATTTACTGTAATTTTACTATAATTTACATTTGTCTGACTACTGGAACAGGTTTACTTGGTTTTCTGTATTATAATTACCCACTGAACACTTTTGTGAACAACCTAGTCACACAATGTAAATATCCATTTCTTAAAGTCTTAAGATCTCTGATAGGTAACTTTTATTTTTTTAAAAAAAGATACTATATTTACTATAAATATTTATATGTGGATATAAGTGAGTATTTATATATAAATATACATTTATATATATATTCATACCTGTGGATATAAAAGAAAAAATGGATTTCTACTAAGCCAGCTTCAGATATCATATGCTATTTAAGAATACTTGAGGTCTGAGCCAGGCGTGGTGGCTCACGCCTGTAATCCCAGCACTTGGGAGGCTGAGGCAGGAGGATCACTGCGTGTTCGAGACCAGCCTAGGCTACAAAGTGAGCTCAAGCCAGCCTGAACTGCATAGAGAGACCCTGTCTCAAAAAGACAAAAAAAAAAAAAAGAATACTTGAGGTCTGTAGCAGCACAATGTATTTAAAGCACTGACTATCTTATAAAAGCTTAACTGAAATTTCAAAAATAAGGTATTTCGGTAATCCTAGCACTCTGGGAAACTGAGGCAGATGGACTGCAAGTACAAGTTCAGTCTGGGGCACTTAGTGACATTCTGGCTCAAAAAAAAAAAAAAAGAAAAGAAAGAAAGGGCTGAGGATGTAGCTTAGTGAGAAGGTCCAGGGATCAGTCCTAAGCACACAAAAAAATAAAAACATAAGCTCCCCTTAGAACTCAGAGTCACAGACATAGGAGTTCCTCCGTAAGTATAGGGAGTTATAGGAACTATGCTTGAACGTCACTATCTAGACGCTCAAGACCCTTGCATAAAACAGTGTAGTATTTCCTTGCAAGCTATGTATACATGTACAGATACTTTGAATCATCTCTACACCAACTTAAAATCTAATACAATATAAATGTTATGTAAGGAGTTATTATTCTGTACTATTTAGGGAAAAAAAGAAAAAAAAGCTATATAGGTATACTTTTTCCCCAAAAGCTTTCAATCCATGGATGCCCACAATCCAGAATACAGGCTGCACATAAAGATGAGAATATCAATTGCTGAATATTTTCTGTATTTGAAATAAGTCAAGTTAGCTAATCACATTATTCAGACATTCAGAACTTAATGCAATGTAAAAATTTTTCCAAAGTAAAATAGTGAAGTTCTTACTAAATGTACAGCATGATCTATTTCTTCAGTAGTTACTCCTGGTTTAATCATTCCAGCAGCAATATCTAAAACTTCTCTTGCAAGCTATAAAAGAAGAGCACAGTATATGTGAAAAGAAATTTAAAAAAAACTTAGGAATCTATATCCTTTGTATTGTCTTAGCTTTTGTAGAAAGCTGTTAACATGAACTTCCAGTCTACATTATTATACAAAATGTTAACATAAATTTATATACGAGGTGAGCTTCTTTTACTAAGTTTAATACCTGTTTACTAAGTTCAATATCTTCTCTGAAAATGTACATCCTAATTTTAAACAATAATCAATTGATAAAAGCTAAGTCTTCTCACATTCCCATAATAGAGAAGGGCAAAGGGAAATAAAAGATAAACTAATTTTCTCAAAGAATCATAGCAAGTAAGCATTGATTGATTGATTGCTGTTGTATCAGTGATTGACTCCTAACTTTGCACTTGCCAAGCAAGCACTTGTGTCGCTAAGCTATATCACCAGCCCCTCACATCAAATAAATAAAAGGAATATAAAGTTCTCCAGATTACCAAACCAATCAGCATCGAGTTATTTTTAAAGTACTATATAAAAACCTTAAGGATCACATGTAAATGAACAATACCCATGTATCATTTATTTTTCCTTTAAAAATGTAATTTCACCTAATATCAACCACTACTGCCATACTTAATAGATATTTTGCAATAAGACCTTTGGTTGAAACTTATGTGAGCCTTAAACTTTATCCTGTGTTATTATACTTGTGAAAATAAAAAGACAAAATATCATAAAAACTTGGTTCTGTAACAAAACGTATAAGAAACAAACTGGCAATGAGTTATTAATTAACTAACCAATTTCCAAATGGGCTAATTAAGTAAAAAAGCAACCACTACACTAAATTATATCTTAACAAATTTAATGACAAGTATAGCTAGTCAGTGTCTTACAATGTAATATTTGATGCATTTATAAATCATCAAATCATTGACTTCATATGTTAAGTACTGTTTAACATACCATACCCACAGGAAAAAAATAACTCTTACCCTACATACAAGTCTCATCCCTTCTATATCTTCAGATGAGAGTAACTTAATTTGAGAAGTACCTTTAAGAGCCTGTTCAGATTCAGACATTCCTGGAAGGGAAAATCAGTAAGTAAAACTGAAACAAATGGAAACATACAGAATTTATTAGCATAATTACAGTCATGATGATATAGTCAAGGCTCCCTGTTAATGCTGTTTCATATTTCGGGAGTGACCAGGTTAGTTTACTTCCAAAATACTTTCAACATAAAAATGAAATTTGCTAAACACATTGAAGGAATAATTCTAAAGAACAAATTTCAGATCTACTAGTATTAGAAATCGGTCAATATTTATAGAGTATATACTTATATGCTAGGTGTAATAATCAGCTTAATAAATGATTTATATTTGACTACTACCATAAAATTTACAAATTGCTTTCACAATCATTTCAGGAAACATCTTCATAGTAGCAATGAATCACTTAGTATATTATTTTCTGAAACAGGAACTTAAGGTCAATTACTTTCTTTTTTTTTAAAGTTATTTTCAATTAAGATCTTTTAGTGCTACAACATATTTTTAAAATTAATCTTATTGGTATACTTTGATATACAGAAATGATCACATTCACCATACATAATATATCTTGAATATTTTTCTCTACCTCCCTCCCCTCCCACCTCAGGCCTCCTTCCCTCTACATTTACAAATGCTTTCTTTTTTCCTTTTCTCTTTCTGCCTTTCCCCTATCCTTTTGCACCCCTTCCCATTTGAACATTTTAAAAAAGTAAACAGAAATTCTTAGATTGTATTATACAAGTAGGACAGTGCTACTATAAAATGTCAATTTATATATACACACACACATTTACAGATCATGTCATAAAATCCATTAATCACTCTGGGTCAAAGGAGTTTGAAAAATATTACCCTAGTAATCTGCACTAATGAAACTGGTCTAATTCAAGTTTCACATACATCGAAAAGAAATAAGAGTATACCCATTGTTTCAAAATAAAAAAAAATTACTAAGCACTAGCAGAAAAATTCCAAATGAAATACTACTGAACAGAAAGAAAAAAACAATAAAAAACCATGACTTAAGTGAGACTCACACCAGAAGGCAAGGATAGTTCAATACTAATAGTTGTTAGTCAAATTTTTCATAATTAAAGAAACAAATGACTTGTCCAAAAAGACATGTATGACAACATGGCTAGTTAACAACCTTAAATAACAAATACAAACTTCAAACCAAGAAGCAACAGAATGATCAGTATCAGCACTATTACTTAACACTGTTCTGTCAATAGGAACAGATGCAATAAATAAGAAAAAGAAATAAAAAATCAGAAAGGAAAAAAGTCTGATTCAATTTATATATCCTTCCTGGGAAGATAGTGGAGTAGTTAGCAGCAGAGTAAACAGCCTCACTGAGAGACACCATCTAGACACAGGAATATACCATCATGAAGAAGACAAGGAAGGAAGGAAGTGGGTCCTTTGGACCCAGGAAAACTCTGAAGTCTGAATCGAAGCCTACAGAGAGAGTAAAAACAAAAACTTCAATGAAGAAGGCAGCAGCAGCTGGCAGTGCCTTTACCTGGAGCCAAACTCGCTGCATGAGGGGAGCTGCTGGAACCTGGGGCAGCTTGCTCAAGGTGACAGTGGTGGCTGGTAACCTCAGAGACCTCCGCGGAAAGGCTGGGTAGGGGAGGGGAGGAGTAGACATAGAGGACCATGCTGGCTAGCAGTGAGGGCAGAGGACTTGGTCCTCCCATGGGAGGGAGTGATTAGACTGGAGCCATTTTGGAATTGGCCGGATAAGCCCAGAATCAGAACTGCTGCCAGCTCCCTCCAGCAGATTCTACCTGGGTGCAGACCCAAAGAAACTGCGTGGACTGCAGTGAACCCAATGAGTCTGGCCTCGGGGCAGGCCTGCTCAAGTTGTCTGCTACTCTGACATAAAGCAACTCCTGGCTTGTGAGGATACAGTGGCATGATGTGGGATGCTGTCTCCACAAGTTGTGTACTAGTGAACCCAGAGACAATCCTGGAAGTGGACTTTTGTTTTGTTGTTGTTTTTCTTTTCGTCTTTCCTTGTTTGTTTTATTCAGTTTGTTTTTTATTTCTTTCTTGTCTTTTTAAATTTGTTTTTGAGTAGGAGAGTGGTTCCTAACCTCCTTGTGGGCGGGATTTGTTTTATTCTACCTTTACTCTCTTCCAGCTTTCTTTTCCTTCAGTCTTCTACATCAGTTTCCACAAGTTGGTAGGATCCATCTTTGTCCTTCAACCTACTTTTAATCTCTGTTTTCCCACTTTTCTGTTTTCTCTTTAATCCATTTTGAATCTTAACCTTTGAGGGCAGAATTAAGGTCTTGTATATTGTATATAACTGTTTTGCATTCCACTTAAAAGATATGAGAAGACACTTAAACAAGACATAACCTAAGATACCAAGTTCACCAAAGGCAAACCCAGGGGCCAATGAAGCTGGAAAAATCCAAAAGTCCCATACCAGGGCACTCCAAACTGCTGGAGAGCAATTGAATGAAGCTCTGGAAAAAAGGAAATAAAAAATAATCTCTCAAATAACTATAGATGTTACCAAAATGCATACCATAGTTGGTGATGTTAGAGCAGACACAGACAAAAAAAAAAAAAAAAAGAAGAGCTGAAGCAAATTATGGAAGTACAACATAGGAAACAATGGAATTCATAAAGCAGATTCAAGCATATATCCAGGGGAATAAGAACTCCACAGAAAGTATCCCAAGTAGATTAGGCCAATGCAAGGACAAGAGGTCAAACAGTGAAAACAAGAGTACAGTTAGTGACCAGGAAAAGAATGAGTTCTCAAAACTAGCAAGGGAGCATGAGAAACCAATCCAGTAGCTGCTAGATGAGACAAAGAACAATAACTTACAACTAATTGGAGTTAATAAACAAGCAGGAGATACCACAAATGACATTAAAAACTGTTCACAGATCTTGACAGAAAATTTTCCTAGTAGGGAAGAATTTGCCATACAAATAAGTGAGGCCTATAAAACTCCAATTAGCAATGATCAGAAAAAATTTACATCTAGGCATATCATAGATTTCAGAAGGAAAAGAAACAAATCATTTATGAAGGAAAGCCCATGAGAATTACAGCTGACTTTCCAGCACAAACTCTAAAGTCAAGGAAAGCTTGGAATGAAATACTCCAATTTCTTTTTTTTTGTCTTTTTCCTTATACCGGTACCAGGGATTGAATTCATGATTGCCTGCTTGCTTATGCGGCTGAACTAAATCCCCAGCCCCAATACTCCAACTTCTAAAGAAAAACAACTTTCAACCCAGACTGATGTAACCTACAGAAGTATCTTTCAAAATTGAGGGACAAATAAGATAGTTCCATGACAAAGAACACCTGAGGAAATTTATGACTAGCAAATCAGCACTTCAAAATGTTCTGAAGGACATTCTAGAAAGACATAGTAAAGGGGCTGGGGACTTAGCTCAGTGGCATAAGCGCCTGCTTTGCAAGCGCGCAGGCGTGAGTATGATCCCTGGTACTGATAAAAAAAAAGAACTTAAAAAAAAAAAAAAAAAGAAAGAAAGAAAGAAAGACATAGTAAAGACTACAACTCCATGAACCCAACAGAAGGAATCCACCAACAAAGGCAAATAGTAAGAGGGAAAGGAAAAAGAAAAATGAAACACGGAGCCAATAATAGGGAAATAACAAGACAAAGATAAATCAATCCATATCACTTTTAATCATTAATGATAATGGTCTCTATTCACCAGTCAAAAGACACAGACTGGCAGAATGGATCAAGAGGCAATAACCAATAATATGCTGTATACAAGAAACAAATTAATTCAAAAAGCAATTCATAGACTGAAAGTTAAAGTATGGAAAACAATATTCCATGCAACAGGAATCCATGCAACAGAAAAAAGCATGGGTTACTATTCTATTTGAAGATAAAGTGAAGTTCAAGCCAAGCTTGATTAAAAAAGATAAAGAAAGTCACCACATCCTCCTCATGAAGGGAATAATTCAGGAGAAAAAGATAATAATCATATATGCAACAAATATTGGTACACCCAGCTATATAAAACAATTATTAATGCGCACCAAAAAATCAAATAAGCTCTAATACAATTGCATTGGGAGGCCTCAATACCCTACTATCACAAAAAAATCAACTAAACAAAAAATCAATAATGAACTATTAAAGCTAAATCAAACTTTTGTTCCACCACACAACATCAGAATACACATTCTTCTCAGCTGTTCATGGGACATTCTCTAAAACAGACCATATAGTGGCTCATACAACATGCTTAAATAAATGTAAAGGAACTGAAATTATCCCATACATACTATCAGACGACAGTGCAATGAAACTGGAAATCTACGCCAAAGGAAATAAGAACTTCATCAACACATAGAAATTAAATAGCACCCTACTGAACAATCAATGGGTCACAGATAAAATTAAAGAAGAAATTAAGACAGTTTTTATAGCTGACTGATAATTACAATACAACATATTGGAACTTATGGGGCACAAAAAGAAGCAGTCTTAAGATGGAAATATATAGCAATAAATACAAATATCAGGAAAACAGAAGAAGCACATATAAATAACTTAATGTTGAAATTCAAACTTCTAGAAAAAGAAAAGCAGGCTAAACACTTCCACAAGGGAAAAAATTATAAGAATCAGAGCAAAAATTAACACACTGGAGACTAAAAAAAAAAAAAAAATACAAAGAATCAACAAATCAATGAGTTAGATCTTTGAAAGATTAAATTAAATTATGAAACCCTTGGCCAACCTTATCAAAAAAAGGAAAGAAAAGAATCAAATCTATGCAATTACGAATGAAAAGGGTAAAATTACAACAGACCCTGTAGAAATTCAAAAATTATCTATTCTTTGAAAATTTGTATTCTAATAAAATGGAAAATACAGAAAAATTGGACAGATTCCTAGATACATATGAATTACCAAAGATGAATGAAGAAGATATAAAAACCCTAAATAATCCAATATCAATAAATGAAATTAAAGACACAATTCAAAACCTATCAACAAAGAAAAGC